TCAAATATAAAGAACTGATGGACTGAGGTTTTTTTTTTGTTCCTTTTGCTGTGGAAACTTTCGGACCTTGGGGTAATGAAGCTAAAAGATTAATTAAACAAATTTGTCAGAAAATCAATCATAAAAAGGCATTCAGCTTCATTACCCAAAAAATTAGTCTAGCAGTACAAAGGGGAAATGCAGCGTCAGTGCTTGGGACTCTTCCAGTAGGATCTGGTTTGGAGGAAATTTTTTATATTTGATGTTTTGTTTTTATATTTTATAATTTATATTTTGTTATTTTATATTTAGTATTTTTTTATAGTTGTATTGCATCTTGTATAATAATTTCAAATGTTCTATAATAAGGTAATATTTCTTCTGAATTTACCATTGAACAAGAAATTAATTTTGGTGTGCATTTTTTAGATACAAAATTAATTAGAAAAAATGACAACAAAATTATTCTTGACTGGTATCAAAAAGATACTGCATCTAGCAGATTCCTAAATTTTCATTCAAACCATCCAAAGAACCAGAAATTTAATACTGTAATAGCCATGAAGAATAGAATTACACACATTAGTCATGAAAGTTTTTTACAACAAAATTTAAATAAACTTTTTCAAATATTCGAAAACCAAACCTACCGAACAAATTATTATTGAGTCTTTAGCAAATCGATTAGAAAATGAAAATAGTACTCAGGATGATATGATCCTGAATAATTTCTTGCATGATCATAGCTACGCATTTGATTATGACTCCATATCGCCTTATTGTTAAGAGATAATAACTTACATTGCAGGTATCGTTGCATTTACACTGTGATGAAAACTGCACTGTGTTTCGCAAATTTTTGGCAATAAGGAGGACTTTTCAAATTCTTTAATCAACTTTAAATCTAAGGGAGGCTTGAGTTTTCCAAGTTTTGATGTTATTGAGATTAGAAAAAAAAACTGAAATGTCTTTAAAAAGAGACCAAAATTGCAACAAAAAAATTAATAAAAACATGGCATTGAAGATTTTAAATCATTTTCTTAGCACAAAGATTTTTGAAAATATGATTATCCATGATTTAACTCCTTTAGAAAATTATAAAGTTTTATTAATTAAATGTATTTTTAATTGTTAGAATAAATTATATTTGTAAAAATGCTATAGCAGATGAAAAAATTCGTACTATGTATACTAAATTAATTTTATTTAATTTATATTTTCGACTTTTTCTATTTAGCTTTTCCCCTCTTTTATTTTTAGTAAGTACATTATTTTAATTTTAATCTAAACTGAACATGAAATGTGAACAAATGGACTTCAATAAAATTCAGAATTGGAAAATTAAACATCTCTGCAAATTTTTCAATTAAAGTTTTTAAGTTTTTTCCTGTTTTTATCTTTTATCATAATTTATTGCGCTACACCACTGTCAATCCGGAAACACTAGTCGGCCATATGCAACCTCCATTCTGGTCCCTCAGATTTGAGGTAATGCTCCTTCTTGTAGTTTAATATTCAAAAGCTTGTACGCGTATCCCATTCCGGCTGATAAAAACCAGCTGCTCTGATTGGTCAAAATATCCCGGAAGGGGGCAGAGTGTTCGAATTACGACAACGGAATTATTGATTGACCTATTCGACCTGCTTGCTGTTCATACTCTGGTAGAGACTTGTACGAGCTTGTACCTTTTTTCACCTCTTGTATTGTCCCTTGCCCCGTGGGCTTGCGCCTTTTTTATGACAACAGTTTAAAAAATAAAGTATAAGTGCTTGATTGGCCCCAAATGGTTTTATTGCCTACTAGTGCTAGCGTTTCCAAAACGAAAAACCTAAACATGGTCCTTTGTCGCCGCAACCCAAGGAGCACAAAAATATTACTATTAGACCAAATTGATTTATACCAGATCTATTGGAGTGTTTAAAGTCGTTAAATTGTTATTTAACATACGCCATGCAGTCATATTTCTCGTAAAACATATTTATTTTATTATTTTGTTATATAGCTCTTTTCAAGGCTGATTTATATGACATTTTTATAAGTATAAGCATTAATTTGCTTAAAAACGTTTATATATCAAAACCAACAAGACTGTTTTTGCTTAAGCCAGATTCATTTTATGGTTGACTTATAGCATTATTTAAAATCTGTTATGTAATGAGACAATTATAAAAATATGAACCATGGTCTGATAAAAGCTTTATAACTAGAATTTATAGCCGTGCTGAAGACTAATATATAAAACAATCTATGCTCAGCAATAATTTGGTTCTGCCCGGTGGTTTTTAAAACTATTTTATAATTGCTGCAAAACTAAATTAAGTGGAATAGTTATAAAGCATTTATATAACAAAAGTGTCACCTGAAATACAAAATTATTATCAGAGTTAGCTTATAAAAATGTTATAGAAAAGTACCAACCTAACCTATATTTAGCTCGATATTTGAACTTCAGTATTGTGCCATGGTGTAGTTGTTTCTAATTAACATTATCAAAATGTCGAATACTGTTATTTCAAGCTGGAAAAAAGTCAAAAGAAGTGGTAATTTTAAGAAAAAGGTTAAAAATAACTATAATAGTATTTTAAATTCTATTGGAATCAATGTTATCACGACACCAGAAAATGCTAATCTGGAATTAATTGATCAGCAAATAAAATGTGAATTTTCATCTGACTCTGACGAAGTTTCTGAACATGTACCTATAAACTATGTCAGAGAAACATACAATCAGTCTGTTACAGACATAGAATCAAGTGACGATGATGACAAAGACATAGAATTAACTGAAATCAGTAAAAATCTTGAAGTGAATAATCAATTAAAAACCTGGTCCACTAGGTTTAATATTAACCATTCGGCATTGAGAGAATTATTTAAGATTTTCAATAGAAGAATTCCAAATATACTCCCAAAAGTTCCAAGGACCCTACTAAATACTGTGAGAGAAATTAACTTGATTAAAATGGAGAATGGATACTTTTGGCATTACGGATTAAAATTAAATATTCAGATATTACTGGAGAGCATATCTACACCTTTGAATTCAATATCCTTAAATATAAATTCAGATGGACTTTCCATATATAAAAGCTCTAAGAATGAATTTTGGCCCACATTATGCAACATTCATGAAATTCCCAAAATGAAACCAATAATTGTAGGAATATTCAGTGGTTCAGGAAAACCTGCCGATCTTCAAACGTACCTCCGAGAATTTGTAGATGAAATGAAGCAGTTGATGAGAGAAGGTATACTTATTACTCAAGAAGGAAACATTCGTCATTATGTTGTAGCAGTTAGAAGTTTTAATTGCGACTCTCCCGCCAGGGCTTTTATTAAAGGTAAGGTAATGTTTTTACTTTTATTTCAGAAGAAATGACATTAGTTTTGAAATATCATAATGTTACGGTTGTATTCTAGGTGTAGCGAACTTTAATTCGAAACATGGTTGCCTTAAATGTACAACAGTTGGAGAATATTCTCATGTATCGCGGACTGTCTACTTCCCAAGAACTGGCTGTGAACCTAGAACAGACGAGGAATTTCGTAACAAAAGATATGGAAGCCACCATAAGTATGACACACCCTTAAGTGAATTACTTATAGACATGGTTGAAGATTTTCCTGTTGGAGACTCTTTGCACCTGATTGATCTGGGGATTATGAAACGATGTATAATTGGTTGGAGAGATGGAAATTTTGGAAGTTACAAAACAAAGTGGTGTTATAAAGATATAACACGTATGTCTGAGTTTTTAATTAAATGTGAAATGCCCGTTGAAATACATAGAGCAAGGCGAGACCTTGACATCTTTTATTGGTGTGTCATTGGGGTGTAAGGGGTTTCGGTGTTTAAAGAAACAGCGACCCAAATGTCAACCTCACCTGCACGTGGTACATCCTGCTAGATAACAAACGAGGCTATGGTGACCGAGTCGAGGCGGTATAACTTCAAAAGAGCTTCGGGTGGAAGAGTCGAGAATGGAAGGGCACTCTTTTGTCCTGGAGTTGGGAAACCAGCTCTAAAGGCGGATGAACAGTAGAACTGTCAACGGCATAAGGATGAGGAAGAACTTTGGACACGCACCTCATTATAGATCCAAAACGGATATGTCCTAGTAGAATCAAAATGGCTATGCTTGCAGCTAAATGAACATCCGGAGTAAGTCCCTCAATCGGATCTCCGGGAGGGACAGTTACAGGCAGAGACGTTAGAGCGATCGATACCAGAGAGGAAATAAGAATAGCAACCTGGAATGTAAAAACAATGAGCCAGCAAGGTAAAATTTACAATGCAATCAAGGAAATGAAAAGAATGAGGACTGATATCCTTGGAATAAGTGGAATGAGATGGCCAGACACTGGTGATATAAACATCGAGGATTATAGAGTTCTCTTTTCAGGCACTACGAATGGAAGACATGAACACGGTGTGGGTTTTATCTTGAACAAGAAAATAGCGCAGTGTGTGAAAGCCTTTATACCTGTATCAGAAAGAATAGCACTCATCCAAATAAGAGCGGGTCCGATTGACATGAACATCATACAAATATACGCCCGTACGCTGGATAAAGAAGTGGAAAATATGTACACAACAGTCAATAATAAACTAAAAGAACTGAAGAAGCATGATATCACAATTGTAATGGGCGATTTTAACTCAAAAGTGGGAGAAGGTCATACATCGGATGTTATAGGATCACATGGACTAGGTGAAAGAAACAAAAGAGGAGACACACTTGAAGTTTTTGCAGTAACAAATGAACTCGTAGTAATGAACACTTGGTTCAAACTGCCGCCAAGAAGATTATATACGTGGAAAGCACCTATGGATGAACCGGGAAGAATAGTCAGAAACCAAATCGACTTTATGTTAGTCAATAAGAGGTTTAGAAATAGCTGCCTATCCCTCAAAATATATCTAGGAGCTGACATTGGATCAGATCACTGTCCTTTGGTTGGTGTATTTAAGGTGAAAATGAAGGTCAACACTAAGATAACTTCAAACTATGACGTTCAGGGACTCAAAACCCCAGCAATAGAGGATGCAGCAGCAATAATGCTCAACGACAACATTCAACCAAATGAAAATAACAACGTCGATATGGAACTCAACAAATTAAAGCAAGCAGTAGAAACAGTAAACAAGGAAATATTGAAACCGGACAAAATAAAGAGAAAATCTTGGATGACGACAGAAATATTAAACTTGATGGAAGAAAGAAGACAAAATAAAGGAAATCCAATGGAATATAAACGTATAGAATGCATTATAAAACAGGAAATAAAGAAAGCGAAAGAAAAAGAACTACAAGAAAAATGTCGCGAGATCGAAAATCATCAAAACATGCACGATGACTTCAATGTTCACAGGAAAGTCCGAGAAGTAATAAGGAGAGGCCACAAAAACAACTGTAAACCTTTGGTCAACGAAGCAGGAGAAATTATCATTGACGCGGAGAAAAAGAAGGAGGGCTGGAAAACATATCTAGAGAATCTATTCCATGATATCCGCAAATAACAAAAACCAACTGTAGGAGAGGGACCGGCAATTCTTGTGGACGCGGTGAGAGCCTCCATTTCGGAAATGAAGCCACGGAAAGGAGCTGGTCTGGATCAAATACAGACTGAATTTCTAAAGTTACTGATCGAGGATAAAATCAAATGGCTGACCAGAATATTCAACGACATCTATTTAACAGGAGAAATTCCAGCGGATTGGTTAAGATCAGAATTTATCACACTGCCGAAAAAAGCAAGTGCCAAAACCTGCGGTGATTTCAGAACAATAAGTTTGATGAGTCATCTCTTAAAGCTGTTTCTCAAGATAATACACAAAAGAATATATAGACTTTGTGGAGAACAGATTTCATCGAACCAGTTGGGGTTTGTGAACGCCGTCGGTACAAGAGAGGCTCTATTTGGTGTTCAGGTGTTGTTTCAGAGATGTAGGGATGTCAGCTGTGATATATATGCTTGCTTAATCGATTATCAAAAAGCATTTGACCGAGTCCAACATGATAAAATGGTCGACATACTGAAGCAAATAGGAATGAATCAAAAAGATTTCAACATAATTATAAACGTATAGTGGAACCAGACGGCAGTTTTGAGAATTGATGGCAGTCACACAGAACAAATAAATATACTACGAGGAGTGAGGCAAAGCTGTGTTTTGTCGCCCATCTCATTTAACGTTTACTCAGAATACATCTTTCGAGAAGCACTAGACAACATTGAGAAAGGAATCACTATAAACGGTACTAAACATAATAACATAAGATATGCAGATGACACCATCATGTTTGCAGATAGTCTTCAAGGATTACAAAGTTTGATGGATAGGATGACCAGAATTAGCTCACATTACGGGTTAGAAATGAACATAAACAAAACCAAACTCCTCATAGTAAGTAAAAGAAACATCGCGGAAGACAGTTTATACATCAATCACAGTAGATTACAAAGAGTAAGGCAAGATACTTGGGGACAACTCTCAAGAAATACGATGTCGCATCGAAAAGGCCCGCTCTGTGTTTATTAAAATGAACTCGCTTTTCGCAAGCCATAATCTATCCTTGGACATGAAGCTGAGACTCTTGCGTTGTTACGTTTTCTCGGTGCTTCTGTATGGCGTAGAAACTTGGACACTCACTAAAGAGACTGCCAGAAGAATTGAAGCGTTCGAACTCTGGCTGTACAGGAGAATACTGAAAATATCTTGGACACAAAAAATTACCAACATAGAAGTAATGCGTCGGATGAATAGAACTAGAACTGTTAGATACCATAAAATGTCGGAAACTTCAGTATTTCGGCCACATAATGAGGAACCCAAATAGATACGGGCTGCTACAGGAAATCCTACAAGGCAAAATTGATAGCAGGAGAGCACCTGGCCGAAGGGGAATATCTTGGCTAGCAAATCTTAGAACGTGGTTTAACAAATCAACAGTACAACTTCTCCGAATCGCCATGTTGATAGCCAACATCCGGAACGGATAGCCACTTGAAGAAGAGAAGGTATGTCATCCTTACTATCTGGTTTTGTAGCACCCTGAGTGTCTTTTTTGTAAGATAGTTTGCTAGGCCTTTTCTTGCTCTTAGAAGCGCGTGTATTTGAGCTTTCATTTCTTTTTACCGCGTTTCTTATTATGTTTTTAAAAAATGCCTCACAATCTGACAGTGTAAAGTCATTGTCAGCTAGGTGAACTATCTCGAAAAAAAAAAACGAATTGTGTTTTCATAAAATTTCAATGGAATTTTTTCCTTATTGTCTCTGTCCGCTCCTGCCCAAGAACACGAAAGCATAAATTTTCTTTCGAATAATTAATCTACCAGCATGTATGAAACATCGATTCCTTTTTGCTTCTAATGTCTAGATACTCTTGAAAATCTGTGCGTTTTTTAATTTTTCTTCCAAGACCTCTAGATCTAATTTATGGATATTCAATGCTGTCACTAAAGCACTATCATTTTTACGTTCCGAGCATGCACATGATTTGGGGTTAGCATTTAATTTTGCCATTGCCTCATCAAACATAGTCTCAAACCTAGCCATTTGATAATATTTTTTTTTTGATTATCTATAATTGTTCTAAATGCTGCAGCAATATCAAATTCCATTGTTTTTTCTTCTAATTGAGCTTGCGGCGGTAATACTTCAGTTTGCGGAATAGTTTCATTGTGGAAGATTATGATAGGTGTGTCGGCATTTGAAGCTGAGGGCGTCATGCTTTCATTGTCGATCTAAAAAAAGTTTTTGGTAAAAATAAGGCTACTCTAAAAAACGATAACTTTATCACTAATTATAGGTACTTTGGTACTTACATCATTAAGACAAGATTCTGCAATTTCGTTTGGGTCTATAGCTCTTTTGGGTAGTAAGACTCTTGGTCTTTTCCGGGGTAAACTCACAGAAGAAGAAATGTCTAGCTCTTCTTGTTCTGTGTCATCCTCATTTAACATCCTGCTGAGCTCTTCTTCGGCTGTTTGTAGGTTTGCCAGATAATTTCTTTTCAATTTACAATTGAATCTGGACCAGTTATCTTCTGGTACGAATTTCCATCACGAACTAATTTATCGGCCTTACTTTTTGGCCAATAAAGTACATTATTTTTTTCCCAAGCTCTGGGAACAATTGTAAGCTCCTTCTTCCCTCTTTCAATTGTCTGAACAATTTTAAACATGCTGTAATGTAATGTGATAATAAATTAGCTTTAACTATTCAAGAGGGGCGTTTAAATAAAATGTCATTTACAGACCTTCACTAATTCCTGTTCAATTCCAAATTTAGACCACTTTTCAGTGAAATGAAGCTATGTTCATAACAATAATAGATTGGAGTAGAAGTTCAAGCATTTTAGGTTGCAAAATACGCATTCTAAATAGTAAAATTATTACCATTTTGTTGACAACAATATGCAAATTTTGGTCACGGATTTAAATGAAAAAGGAATAAACATATAGAGTAGCACACCAACAATAAATGTCCAAAATTTCGGATAGTAAAATGCTGGAAAAAATGAATAGAACAGAATTTTCGAAAATTATAATTTTTGTATCACAAAATTAATCAAAATCTGTCAAACAACGAGTTGATTGCTGTCATTTTCAGCAAAGACTCAAACCAAACGTTTGTTCAGCGCTTCTCTAAAAGATGTCGCTGAGTTCGGGAAGCATAATAACTTCTTTCAAAAGCCAGTAAAAACTGTTTAACCTAGCTAATAATGTGAAATACTATTATACATTTGTATCTGAATAAAATTATTTAGTCCACTGTAAATTACTGTGTAAACGAATTGATATTGAAGATGTCGCCATCTACTTGTAAATTAGTCAATCACTTACAGAGAATTTGAACACCTGTGATTAAAAAATATCTAATGTATGTCATAAAGCCCAAAAAATGGCGTGCTGGCTCTTATCTGACGCCCCTTTTAAATATTTGATGCCTTATAACCTCAACCTCATATTTTTCCTGTGGCCCATTTAATCAATTCACCTTCATTGGTAAACCTGATGTTTTAAGCCTGATGTAAGTATCTGTCTTGATTAAGTTGCTTATTCGGTTTGACCCTTGTGAACTTGGATGCTAAAAGTTGACTTTAATTTATGTCTGGTAGGCATACATTCTCTTAATTTATCTAAATTCACAAATATTTAACTGAAATATTTTCAAAAAAATTTAAAAGCCTTATTTAAATTAAAGTATCGATTTTTATATATCTTGCCCAATTTTAATCGTCATTAATTCAGTCAGTAATTAATAAAAATGGCTGAGCCTCTCACTCCGTAAGAAATCTTAAAAAGAGTTGAAAGTGAAATGAAATTTATCACCTCCAAAAGAGGTCGGCTAAAAGCTTCACTTATAGTACGGGAGCTGGCGACACTTTTCATTGTCCCATTTCATAAAACTTGATTTCTCTTTTATTTTGTAGTATTGATATCAATGATCAAGAAAATGAACTCCTGCCACCTTGTTAGCGGGACAACGGTTGACTGCGGTATGCCAAACATGTTGAAAAAGAAAGTCCAAATGTTTAAAATAATAAAAGTTGAAACTTTACCAATTTTCTAATAACATTTAAATAAGACATAAAACGACCTCCTGCAACTTTTTCGGTAGACCTATATACTCCTGCCATAATTTTATTTACGTGAAAAAAAGTTATTAATTAATATAAATTATAAAAGTTGAAATTTTTTCTAGCATTTCATTAATAATTACGATAACTGAAAAATGCCAACCTGCCAGTCATTTGATGGGACCTGGCTTCGCAGGAGCTAGTGAAGTAATAGGGTGTTGACATAGTCACAGAAACAAATTTGTTTCAACACGTTTTCTATTTTATTTATTTGTAGTAATGCTGAAAGTATCCACCCAGAAAAACCAATAGAGAATAATTAGGAGTAAAAATTATTCCAAGAAAATCTAAAAACCAACACGAAAACAGAAGAACAAGGACCACCCTCCAAACTGTGAACAAAAATCAAGAATCATGATCACCTGCTACAACCAACATCGGCAGAGAACCAACGGCTCAAACCACAAATGCCTCAAACTTCCAAATATATAAATGGATCATCCAGAACAAAGACCCGAAAATTATCAAAATCTCCGAACTCCTAATCAAATCCCTAAAATCACACACTCACAAATAAGCGTTGACCGAATTATGGCCCAACCCAAATCGAGAAGTTCAAAGAACTGTACACCTGCTAAATGATGCAACATTTCATCATACGGTATGCCAGCCATAAATCATACACGTGCCGCAGGCCCAAATTAAGAACAAGGCCGCCGGCAATTACACAAAGAAGCGGCACAGAGATCAAAGGAACTGTTGACTGAAGCTCATAAATTAGGGAGCGTCAAAAGCGGTAAAGAACAAAGGAAACAAAAGGGGGGAATTTTACTATAAAAGAAGGAATTGGAACAGAAAGAGGAGAAAAAAGAAAAGAGTCGAGAAGAAGTCCAGTCGGTCAGATACAGTCAGATAAGCGGCCAGATCAGTCCTG